TTTGATCTATTACACTTACTTTAAAGAGGGACTATGTAACTTTTGCTCTCTAATTCCTGTGGCTTAAAAAAATAAAAAAATAAATGTATATATATATATATAAAAAATATTATTGTGGGTAATGACAAATGCTAAAATGTGGCGTAACAGTAGCCCAATTATTTTACACTGACAACATATGCCTCATTTTACACCTCCATAAATCACTCATAGTGACTTTCACACCTCATTGTGTTTGTCATTACTTATTTAAATACGTTTCAGTTTATTATTGCTAAGATTGGCGTGGGTTTCTTTTCTTTGTTGTGGCCTGATGTTCGGTAATAACAGACCATGAGCTACTGGTCATACCAGACCAAGTAGCTCAAGTAAGACTGTACAGTAGATGCAAAACCCCTTGTTGTTTTGAGTATCCTTTACTGCTTGTGAACTTAACTTATTTGTTGGAAGAAGAATGTGTTATGTTACATAGCCTTGCTTTAATGTTTAAGAATCTTTGCTCAGTCCTAGTAGAGAGAAGTGTTGTAACATTAGTGGAACTCAAAACTGTTGGGAAATCAAGACACATAAGGAGAGACCAGATAAATCCCAACAGTCAATTGCCAAAGGAAAACAAGAGTTATCACCACATCGGTTTAAACTCCATGACCTGATCTAACTTAAGTTATCCTACTACTGTGTCTATGTGTCCCCGTATTTGTTTGTGCTACATCAGCTGCCACAGAAATTGCAACTTAATCTGGAGCACATTCACTAATGTTCTTTTAGGAATAGGGAATCACATGACAGATGATCAAAAGTATATTTCTGCTGTTGAATGTAGGACACCTAAGTACCTGTTGTAAACACTGAGCTCCTGTTCCCGTCTGACCCCACTTGTAAGCTGTATACTCATATTCTTATCTGAAGACTGGCCTTATGTTTGGCATACATGCTACTTAAATAGCAGCATGTATACTGAGGCGTGGGTTAAGTACCATTAGTCAACAGAAGCAGCCACTCAAACAAACAACTTGGTGGTGCCACTGAAAGAAATGTTTGATACAGGGAGAGACTGCTGCACAAACATGCAGGCTCTGTTTTCATCTGCACCGTGCTTCATTTTCACTCCACACATTCACACCTGGCTGCTGCCAAGTACAACCGTTGTCCACGGCTAGCTACTGAGTTGCTCCACTGGCTGGGCTGTTGGAACAGTAAAACAGCATCAACTGCCACTGTCATTTAAATTTTAAAGATTACATATTTCTTTTTGCAAATATAGCCATCACAACCCAACCTAAAACAAAATGGCATGTTGTTTTCAAATTTGAAGTTAAATTCAATGATGGTTTAATGCTTTGACTTCTTGTTTGCAGTGTGCTTCAGCTGCATGCACAGCTACTATACAATTTATCCCGTGCTCATGTTGTGGATTGACAGACTTTATGTACAAAAGATGTGACTACATTCCTGCATTAGCATACATAGTTGCACACATTGAATTTCACTCTAACATTATGCTGTCAGGGGCACACACTTATGTATTAGAACAGCATTTTCGGGGCCAGCAAAGTCTATGTGAATAGGTTTCTACTCCATTACTTCAATATAACAAGAATAAAAAGCACTTCAACAGAACCACAGTACTTGGGAACAGCCTGACAATTTGCACAAGTATAACAAACCCAGTGAACTGTAGTTGAATTGCTGCCTTCCCTTAAAATTTAAAGTAATTTAAATTCTAGTATTCTAACAAACGGGAAGTCCTGTTTTCTCCTCCCTCTCTCCTCCTTCTCAAATCATCAACTGGGTCTGGTTGCTAACATTGCCCTTACACATAGTCACCACATATCCATAAATACTGAGAGGGAAAATGATATCATAACAACGAGACGAGGCCGGAGTGACTTATGGGGAAACTTACATCATTACCTGTCTCAGTGCCATGGCTCATCATGCTGTGTTTGCAGGGGCAGCACAAGTGTTAACGTGTTGCCACGAAGCGGTATCGCTGTCTGGACATAAGGGGTGGCAAGCCTGTCATGCCCTGACACAGGCGAGCGACTAAACTCCGAGTGCTGAGTGAGTGGAATGCCAAGGTCCAGTAAGCCCCTGGGGCAACTAGGGAAGGAAGTGGAGATTCTACCAGGGACCCAGTGTGTGTTTTTGTGTGTATGTGAGAGAGAGTTGGGGGACCCAGTGGGAGTTCAAGAGCTCATTTTCAGTCAAAGAGGTAACCATGAAGCAAAGGAGTTCATATGCAGTCAAGATAACAAGAGGGTTAAGACAGCAAAGTGCAATCTGACCCACCTTCTACAATAAAACGGCACTTACCCTGCACATAAACAAATACACCTACATCGACACATACCCACTTACTAGCCCACCAAACCAACACACATTCTTGTTAACCCCGTTCCCAGAAACAATAAAAAAGCACACTTATTGTTCCAAACTACCTAAATCATCCTACCAGAGAACAGCTTTTTAACCATTACTGTTTTGAACGGTCAGTCCACCTGACTTGACAGGCTAATATATCTCAACAACATTAGAATGGATTGCCAATTCATGTTCACATCACTTTGTATATAAAAGGGCCATTCGGCGAGTAAGGCACTGCCAAGATGGCGAAGGCTGCAGTCACCCACATTATGCTTCACAATCACTCTTCAGAAACCTATGGGTGAACGTCCATGTTTTATACAGTCTATGATGACTTTTCTTTTTGTGTCAACATGAGGTTTATATTTGTTTTTTGAGTGAAATATCTCAAAAACTATTGGATGGATTGCCTTGAAATTTGGTTGACATTCATTGCCCTCTGGATAAATTTGCATAACTTTGGTGATCCCTCAACTTTTCAGCATCGTGTCAAAATGTTAACTTGTCCAACACTTACAAAACTACTTCAATATGTGCAAAACTATATCCATACACACACATCCAGACATATCCATCCACCTCGACTATACTTTATATTTAGTACTAATTAGCAAATGCTATCATGCTTACACGCAAAACTAATATGGTGAACGTGGTAAACATTATAAATGCTAAACATTTTATTATATTGTTACATTGCATATTATATTATGGCTTTGTAGTACACAAAAATGGGCCTGCCCTTAATTTATATTCTTGAACCTCAGACAGCTGCCATGTCAAGTTAAGTGGGCTCTCAATTCACATCAGTTCAGCTTTATTGTCAATATACAATACTTGCTTATTTTGAAACATGGTCTTGTTACTCTTAAATAAATGCAAACCTTGCTTCAAGAAAACTACATGGTAAAAGAAGAGAGGCTGTAATTGATTGTAACAAATAGCAAATAGCTGTACATAACCGCCTCCTCTCTTGAAGAAGTCTCTTGGATGACAGACATCTAAACATAAACTGCTGATCTAAAGAATGTATGTCACAAATAACTTCTAGAGAGGTCCATTATATCTTTCTTTAACAGATTATTAAAGTTTGATTTCATAGCTTTAAAGTGCTATGTTACAAAATATGGTTCAAAAATGATGTTATCTCTTGCACGAGTCAAAGAGGGCCCTTTGTGCTAACTTCTACCGATGTAAAATTGATCTCCTGAATGGCACATACAGGTAAGTCGTAAAACAATTTAGTTTGTATGGATTAATTTTGTGTTCAACAAAACTTTGTTTTATAGACATAGTCTAATTGTTATTTTGCCACACTGCCTAACCTTGAGCGCTCATGATACCTTAATAAATAAAGGTTGATTTTCAGTCTTCCCCTGTCCAAGTGGATCAATAACCCAACACAGTGGTCAGATTTTACTTTTACATCTATACATATTTGACTGAATCATCATGTGTTGTTTGACTAAGTGTTGTTTGTAAATAACCAGCCTGTTAATAGCCAACTGTTTGAGCTAGGCTAGGCTGACATTTACTATGGGACGATGTTTACTGATGCTACTATACTGTATGACTGTATCAGTATCAGTAATAACTGTCACTAGCATTGTTTAGCTTAGCTTTTATATGTCTCAAATCAGATCTGGATTTGTTTGTTTGTTTTGTTTTACAACCTGCTACACAACAGCCTTTATGCATTTTCCTGTTTCTCTTGTTATGTGAAAGCGCGATCCTTTCCCACAACAGGGGGCATGGCCTTGGCACCTAATGACGTGATGCTGATCTGGTTTGGAAAGTTAAATGAGTTCATGGTGTTCAGTCACATTTTAAGACTCAGCCTCTCCTTTGCCTCACATACAGGAGGCATCATCATCCTGCTATGAGTCAACAGCAATTGGAGCACAGGGATATTATGCACATGTTTAACTAGGTCAGCTGAGGACATACTGTAGCTGTCTAGTCAATTCACCATAGAATTATTTCCGTACTGATTAGTGTTAACGTTAAGCAGACTCAAACACACACTCCCTTGCAGATTAAACCAACCATAACCAGCCCTAACTTGCCGCAGCAGAGACATCTTTTGCTTATTGTAGATTTTTAACGAGTCATAAATTATGAAGATTAGAGTTTGAGCTTTCAAAGGCTTATCGACATGCTGTATTAGCACAACAAGGTTATTTAGCTCTTAGGCTTAGGCTGGACTCACATCCCATCCCCCACAACGTTTATCAAAGTTCAAAGGGCCCATACAGCGAGTCACTTCAATAAACCAACTCCAGATAACTGGCTCATCCATAACCAGGGGTTTGAGAGGAATTGGACATGGTCAAGCATCTGCAGTCAGTTTAGTGAGCAGATGCACTTAGTAAGACTTCTTCTCTTCTTCTTTACAGCCGTTTTCACCATTAAGAAAATATTTTCCTTCTGCACAATGCCGTCAAAAACTAAAGTAAAGCAAACAGTAATACAATTGCATTTAAAATAAGACATTTAAATGGTAACTGCTGGAAAATCCTGCGGTATATTCCACAGAGTTGGCAGAAAATAAAATACACTGTGAACAAAAAACGAACTGTGTGCCCTATCTGAAAGAGAACATACTTTGCCCTAAGCCACAGTCAGTGTGCTGCCACCTTTGGTCTTTCAGGCTTTATAAGCACAAGACGGGCCCAAACAGTTGGAACAATATCTTGCTTACTGGACAATTTTGCCTGCCTTTGATGAAGGGTTGATGGCGCAATTTGGAAAGGTAATGCCTGTTTATTGCAAGGGAAGGAAGGAAACGACTGAATAAGTGGGATATATGATGAGTGAAAGAGATAGCGGAGACTTATATCTCTCTTGGCCAGAGTCCAAGAATGAATTACTTTGCCATTGTTAAACAATAACAAACAAGGCAATATTGATTAGGAAAAAGAAAAGAGATTTCTGTTGCTGTTTTTATAGCCAAGTGTCTTCATTTATGACTCCTGTCTTTTGGGGTTAAGGAGCCAAATGAGGATGTGTCTCTTGCTGTGTTATATTTCACTTCCTTTTGGAACACATTTGCTGACCCAAGGTGACACAAGGTGTGACCCATCCAGCATGTAGATTATGACACTAAAGCATCAACACAGAACAGTGTTGAACAGTGGCAGCAGACAACAAGTCAAATGAAAAATATACCTCATGGTGGATGTCATCCACAGAACGACACACAGAAGCGTTTTCTGATCTGACGCCCCCACTATTGACAGAAGGACATGGTCGTTTCAAAAAGAAAACCGTTTTATGATGTAAAAATGCCTCATTTAAGGTTTGGCAAGGTTTAGGTTTAGGTTTTCATGGAAAGATCATGGTTTGGATTAAAATAACCTCTTCGTTCAAATTAGGGGACATTCAAAGTCACGGTTAAATTAAAACTACTCCAGTTAGGGAATAACCGCAGTCATGCTTGGTAGGAAACAGGAAATGAATGGTGGTCTCCTGCGTTAAAGACTAATGTTTTGTTGACTCATCCATCCACCCCAACCAACAACTTTGTCATTCTCACAAGAACGTCACACGACTTCCTGCTTTGCTCCCAGTGGACAAGAAGTCATAATTACTGCGGCTGCTAGAACTTGAACTTTTGGTAATTAGCTAAAACGCCGGATGCTCTAGTTTTTCTTGGGAGGAGTCTCCAGCAGAGAATACAAAGTCATGGTCCACCCTGCGTTGATATTCAGCACCACGTCAGCATGTTTGCTGATGAGCTTAACATTAATGTTTAAGCTGCTGCTGTGAGATAAATTATTTCACAAAGCAGTTCTGATTCTTGCTGCCCTCCACGGATTCCATTTTAGGATCAAGCTTGAAGCATCAAACAGGTTTTGGCCTGTTTTCTGATTACCCACAGCAGCCAGGCACCCACAGCTAGAAGTGTGACACAACACCCGCCGCCCTGCAACTCCAAGGCTGTAGACATTACAAGGACACAGCAGGTAATCAATTATGCCTTCTTTGGTATCCTTTCTGTCAAACTGTGGGAGGACAAATTATAAAATGGCTATTGAGAGCAGATTCTTTTGCCAACTATGGTTTGGACTGGTTTGCAGCCAGACCTTGAAATCAATCATCACGGTTGAGCTAGGAAGGGAAGTTAATTCCAGTCGAAGCACAAGTGGTAAAGCCTGCTGAAGGATTCACAGTTAGCTTCAAATTGATGCTGAGGTTGGTGCCTCAGACCTTGGATTCTACTGCAGTAACGACAATTTTTCAGATTCAGTCCCCAAATACTCAAGAGTCCAGATCTTTTCTGACAAAGCTCTACTTGGCTGTTAGTGTGGCTGTTGGTAGAAAGAAAATAAAATACAAACCAACAACAACTGGAAATTGCTTTTTATTTAGATGGACATCTGGGCTCAGAGGCTTTATTACCAATCTGTAAAGGTCCCTTCCCCTGCTCTCCTACTGTGTTTCTATCCTCTCCTCTTTTCTTTTACCCTGTCTGCCCTCCTATATCAGAGCCACTGCTTCTGTTGTGCCCTCAAGCACAGTCACAAATTGACATGCCGAATTCTCAACTGGGACATTAAACCCTGGGGATCAAGCATACAGAGAAAGCTCTTTTATATCCTCTCCCTTTGGAAATTGTTTATGTTCATCACATGGTGCACTAGGTGGATTTCCACACAAAGGACCAATGCCCCTCATCCCAAATCCGCCACAAGGCTGCAAAGAAAATAAACCTTTCCTCCTGAGACCAAAAGGCAGATGAGGACAACTGGGGTTTCAGATTTTAACTATACACAGAAGAAGCTCGAATGAAAAGCACTACTTCAATGCACTTATTCCTTGCTTGTTCTACTCCTTACGATGCAGCAACAAAGACGAAAAGCCAAACACAGTGGCCTAATGATCACCTGCAAATTGAGAAGAGATTACCAATTTATGACAGTATAATTTTATGACTATCATCACGCTCATCCTCACTGCCACTCACCTGCCTGCCACTTTACTGTACTGCTGTCTGCACTAAATTATTTATATGCTTTTGAGGGTGATGATTTATCCAAGTGGTGGAGGACAGCTGGGACACACAGGAAAACAACGGGCTCTTAATTGTAAAAATGTGTCAGTTTGATGCCTCAGTTTGGTGCTGGATAATGGATGGAGGAATGCACTGGGATAAAAAAATGCTCCAATGATGGCTCTCCTCTCTTAAAAGTAAAGTTATGTATGATCAAACCTACTGGCCAACAGACGTAGAGATAGTACAGTAGACTAGCATTCGTTTTACACACTTGAACGTTGACTTATACACTGAAAGGTACGACTAGGACACATTAATCCTATATGTTCATTCTCTTAAACCTACACACAGACACAGACACACACACACACACACGTCTCCTTGTCTTTTCAGGTCAGCTCAGTAGAGAGCACTCTGCGATAATGAGCTGCTCCACTTTCATGACAGATGGAAAATGTGCACCACGCCGCGCTCTGCTCCTCCCTTCCCTTCTCCACTCCACTTTGCAAGGCTTGCCTGACCATCTACCCATCGGCCCAGTCGCTGCCTCGGCACGGCGTCGTATCAGATGATTGGGACAAGCCAACTAAAGGAGGAGTTGCTGGGAGTTGAGGCAGTGGAAAAAACGCCTCACTCTCCTCATCAATATTGCAGCCTTACCTGGTGAAAGGTAACAACGGCCAACATATTCCATCATGTCACTGGAAGAGAAGATCGGGTGCCTTAGCTTGACATGCCAACATTGTTGCTTGTACTAATGATGACGCAAAGCTCACTTCATTATTCATCGCTTCTTTAATGGGGGGGAAAGTCTGAACGGCATGGAAAGCAGAGGATGTTCAAGAGGAGTCCAATTATCAACAAGTAGATCATGTTTGTTCGAAACGTGAACACGAGCTCCTCCTGGTGCAACAGGCTGGCTCAGAATGGCCAGATCTTCAGCTGTTGTACCCAAAGTGGTATGAATGCCTTTGTGATAAAGGCACAAATATTAGGAGACACAAACATATAGTATTTGAGTAAAAGAATCAATATATGTACAGTATTTCTTAACTGATCAAAGTAATACATTTAACGGAATTAAGACTTAAGAGGAAAGAAAAGTATGTTTCACAATGTTACATGTTCAAGCCTCTTTGAGGCCTTATTGCATAAGACCCCAGAGATAAAAACACAAATGCATGCATATTGAAAATTCTGCAGTGTTTGGTGTCATTGCCTTTACCTCTCTTTACCTCTGGATACAATGCACAGAATGCAAAAAAAAGCAGGAGGATAGGTAACAAATCAAATGGCCCAATGATTGTTACATTAACTTGCTATAGTAAATTTTGTAGAACTTCCTTTACTATAGCTCTTGCTCTTAACACACAAACAAAACCAGTAAGCTATAAAGTTTATCAACATTTTTTGGAGCATCCATTAATTTCTTCTGTTAGGGTAATACTGTAATAATAATTTCCCTTCAGATTTTAAATATTTTATTTTTAATTAAATTAATAATTTTAATATGATTTATTTTATCTGAAATAAAAGTTTGCTTATAGCTGATAGCTGTTAAACAGATAACCCCACACATGTAATTACTTTTAATTAGTCATACCATTTTTTCTCCCTAAGCCCCACGTGCACTAATTCTGCGGCCTTATCAAACAATGAAAGTAACATGATCGCAGTGGGCTTCAAACAGACACAATCTCTATTTTCTCATGAAGTTGCTCCTCTGAGCTCTGGTAACTGCCGCTTATCTCATTGGTCAGTGGAAGAGTGTTGTCATCACTGCAGACCATGCGCATGTGAGCATGTGTCTCTGTGCGTGTGTGTAACACGGTCTGGCTGAGGTCAGGGGTGGTGCACATTTAATCTGCTCTGTGTTTCCAGGCCACTCCAAGGACTTTGACACATCGCTTCTGTATCTATTATTCACAAGTGGTCAGAGACTTTCAAATGTCCGCGCGTCTGTGTATGAGCGTGCATTTGCGTGTACAATGTGGCTCAAAATTCCTCCCAATTTTATTTGTAGCTATAATATGAACCCTGTTGCATAATCACACCATTTCGACCACATACAAACTTACACTCACACACAGGCACACTGTGCTCCCACTCCAGTTGCACAACCCCAGAATTTTAGGGATAGAATGGCCTGGTTTCATAAGCAGTCTGCTGCCTACTGGCAGCTGTGCTTTCAGATGAGGTCATTACTTGGGGCGGGCCACAAGCACAGACAGGGCATAATGTTGGACACATCAGTGAAAACCCACTGAGTGTGAAGAAGAATGGCAGCCAGCAGACCACAGAGCTCTGGTCATCCTGTCTGGGGAGGTTGTTTGTGTTTTGAGTTGTGTTACCTCGCTGGTGGTGCAGCGATGCAATTAAGTACACAGGGAACAGAAGAGTTGAATGATGCTTGTGTGTCAGTGTGTGCGTGCAGCCTGGTATTACTATCAGCTCAGTGCCAGGGTGGGGTGAATGGCCTCAGTGCTATCTCTGGAACACAGCATGTTTACCCTAATGAACATAACTCCAAGTCCAGCCAATTGCAAAGAATGCTTTTGCTATGGACATTGCTCCAAAGCTGAAAAATCCCAGGGGAAATAAATATACATGAGAATAATGCTGGTGCTCCTCATTCTACTAGAGTGAAGTATTTCTGTGGATGCTTACATGCCTTCTTACCCAAACAATAATAACCAGACAGTGATGGCTCTTTTCAATTCTCTGATCCCTATTGTTGAACTTGTAGAGAAATAATTTTGTGCCTTTCTGAGATCTTCTTTGTGTTTGGTGATCATGTAGAACTGCAAAGTGCTGCCCTGTCAGCGGAACCACTTATTTTCACATCTGTACCAGGAAATGGTTTCAGTTCTTTCCATGAAAGTAAAGACTTAATTTAATGTCAATATTCAACATGTCCCCGAAGAAGACTTCTGCTAATACTGCAGGGGAGTAGAGCACTCAAATCGTTTCATCCAGTAGCTAAAGCTTCTTAAAATCCCTCCAAACATGAATTTCTGACCAATAGGAAAATAGTTAATATGACGGGAGTAAAACGGTACTCCGTCCAATAGTCAAGCACCTCAGATGTTTACCCAAATCTCTGAAATCCCTCCGTGAATGTTTATTCAGCCAATGCGAGGGCAGCTGCCGCAGTGCACAGCGACGAATGTCTGCCTGCGGGTCCATGGTGATGTTGTGCTGCATAAGGCTGTGCCATGGCATGTGTGTGACGATTACATCATGGCTAGCGGTCTGCACCACACACAATGATGTGACCTCCTGTCAACATCTCAGGAGCACTGTCGTGCTGATCTGATGAGGACTTTTGCTGTGAGACGATTTCCTGCTGGCATCCAGCTGTGTATGTCTTAATCCCTCCATGCACACTATTGTTTAGTGGAGGAAGTGACTACGGAGTGTGATGGATATGTCAAGTGTGCACATGCTTGTCTGCTTTTTTACTCAAGTGTTAATGTGTGTCTTTAGATATGAGCGTGTTTATCTTTCCTCTTATTGTGGAATGTTTTCTATGTCCCATCTTTAACCTCCAGCCCCCCCCCCACCCCGCCTTCCACTCTGCACCCCACCAAAGCCGGTTTGAGCTCTTTTGCTCTGACATCACCATAGTCATCATCAGTGAGCATGGGATAGACCATTAGGTGAGTAACAAGGGGGGAGATTGCACCCAAATCAGAGCCTTTTAGAGTGGCCTTGACACAAGAGAGAAGAGAGAGATGGAGAAAACCCACCACAGGATGAAAAATGGCAGTTCACAGCTTGGGGATCTTTGTTTCAAACTTCTTGTATAAACAGCTGACTCTTTAACAAATAGAAAGTATACCAACATCCCTTGGGTGCAGAACGAATGCTCTTAAAATCTCTGCATCAGCAGAATAAAACTGTCATCCTCCCTCTGGCTCACTCTCCATCTTTTTGTTCTGAGGTCATGACCTGTGGATCTGTGCTGAC